TATAAATTATGTTGGCTCTTTTTACTTGGTCCATTAATTTAACATCTGTACATTCAGTGAAACATAACCAGGTTAGCTAATAAAATACTGTGATAATTGTGTTGACAATGAACACTTAAACTACTGGAAATGCAAAAGTACAGAACAGCGTATAATCCAGTCATGGAGGAAGGCACTTTCCAGATATCTCAGTGGTCCCATGATAAGCACTGCTTGTCCAGGTCGGAAGCATTTGATCTTTGAGATAAACACCCCATCACAGCTGGTAGCTCGGAGACAGAGACTCAAATTACTATACTGGATGCTCTTCCTGTTTTCTTCAGAAAGCAGCTATCTCCTAAATCAAGCTCTAAAATCATACCATGAGGACGTAGAACTCTATGATATCAATAAGAAGATGTCAGGCAAGACCTCACTTCTGCAATAAATCAAAAAATTAGCCAGGCGTGGTAACATGTGCCTGTAGTTCCCACTACTTGGAAGGCTGAGGTGGAAGGAGCACCTGAGCCCAACAGGCTGGTGCTGGGTGGCCAAGAGTCTGCCACTGCACTCCAGCCTGGGCGATGAAATGAGACTCCGACTCAAAAAAAAAAAAAAAAAAGGGTGGGGGGAGGGGGATGACTTTAGGGTAAAATTTCCAATGTCCCTCCCTCCCTCTTTTTAATTTGCCTTTGAGAATATTTTATCTTTTGATTTATCCTTGTGTCTTTAAGCACAATGCATCTGGAGTGCACCAGGTTCTCTATCTAATTTCTCATTCAAGCTTCAGCTATTCCCTATACTGAGTAGTCTGGGAATTAATAGACTAGGGTCTTTGCTCCTTCTCCAGACTCAGTTCAATAATGAGTGACTAGATGTTGCCTTTTTTGGCTTTTTAATAATGTTAGAATGAAACAGAGTATATTTACTTATTTGGAAAGCCTATTTACAAAAAACTCACATTTCTTTCCAAATCTATTCTTATGATGCCTCCCACCAATCTATATAGTAATACTACAAGTTCCTCATTAGCGCAGTTACCTAATTTTTCACACTCTTGTATCTCTCTAGCTCAGTTTAGTTTTATGAATGTAGATTTTGGGGATGCTATTTTTAAAATAAGAAATCTCCTGTTTTGGAGAGGTTTCCCTAGTGTGTCTTAACATAAAACCTTCTGAACCCTTCAAAGTCTACCATCTCAGCTATGCATTGAAGGTAATGTTATTTTTCTGGTTTTTTGCACGTGGAATGATAAAAATTTCAGGAGTATGGCCAGGCTTACATAATAGTTACCTGAAACACACAGAACATTTAACATTCTGTATTTTCCTTGGAGATTCTCAGGATGTTTGCCAAAAACATCCTGTCCTTAAACCAGTGAAGGTCAAATTCTTGGCCCTCAGCAGAAAATCTCAATCTAGCTCTCTCAGTAAGAAAAAATTTGTCATATAGGACCCAATTGGTAACAATCTTGAGGAATCAAGTACAGATTTTCTGTAACTTTCTAGCAGGTACCTCAGGTTTTCAAAGTCAAGTAGGAATAATACATTCACCTATCTGGCTATCCACAGACATTCAATCTTTGCCTACCCACAGAACATTCAGTTTGTCCTTGCACTTGCTACCAATATAAAAGTCCCCTCCACTTTGACTTTTTGTACCCGTGCCTTCTGTCTTAGAAAGAATAATCATAAACTATATGGACAGGACTGTACTTTGCCATGCTAGCCTGGTAACTTATTAGCTTTTACTAGAGCATATAGCATTGGGGTTCAGAAGTAAGTTTTGGAATTGGTAAATGATTCCCTCAAGATTTTCCTTAGTATTTATTCTGGTTCATGTTTTATGGCGAAGAAACATGATGGGGGTGGCAGTCGTTAAATCATGCACATCTAAATATAATATGGATCACTAGGAATTGAAAAATATCAGTTATACATTCCACATTTTTGTCATAAATTATCCACCTTGATAGAGCTAAGATGGGAGAGTTTGAAGGACAGGACAGTGTTTTGTGAAGAAAGGCTGACTACTATAATACATTTGAAAGCACAATGATGTGCCTAAGAATTAAATCGAGGATTTAGGCAGGATTCTAAAGGATTAAAAATCAGTAGTGCTGTTTTTAATCTAGAAAGAGTCAGGAACTTGAATAAAAATTGAGGCAGAATTCCAAAGGATTCTTTGCAGTTGAAAAGACACATTCTAGATAAGAATTAACTTAAGTGATTTAATAAAAAAATAAAGTGAAGAAACACAGCAAATAAGTCCCTACTTTTGACCAGGTACTTCATATTTCTTATTTAATTGCCAAAATAAACCCAAAGGTAAGAAAAATGGTTTCATTTTGTCCCTGGAGCAGCAAGCCAGCCCAGGGGCACGTAACAGGCTCTTTCATCTGCCTGAACCATTTCTATGGATATCTAGTCTACTCAAATATTCATGGAAGGTGAATTTAATATTGGCATCCTTATAACGTGAGTTAAGATTCAATATTAATGTTGAATTTCAGCCCTGGATGGTTGGCCAACCATGAATCAGTCAACACCATTCTCTGACCATCAAAAGCAGACAAATAATGGGGATATTAGAATTCCAAAGGAAAGTCATATCTCATTTCTGAGATGGACAGTATCTGACCAGGAGGCAGATCGTGCACAAATCCACTGAGAAGTGTGCACAACTGTGGAGGTACATGCACACCCAGAGTTGTTCCATAGTGATAAAGTGAGACTGATGATGGATGTTGACATGACTTGGGTTACTTAAGGCAGGCTAGATACATTTATGTCTAGTGGTTAACTTTTATAAACTGTGCCAGACACAATGAACAGAGCATTATTTAATCCTTGTATCAACCTTGTAAAGTGGGTGCTAGTAGTACCTGGATTTTACTGGTGATGAGACTAGAACAATGTCAGGCATCTTGCCCCAAGCTGGCATCTTCAAGGAGGCTATCCCACTGTCACACTCTCACCTGACCTTTCACCTCTGTGCCAGGTGACCACACAGCCTTCCAGGGACATAAAGACTGAATCCCTAGCCCCTGTCAAGTTCTCTATGTGAAATCACCTTCCCGTTGTTCCTAGAGGAGTAAGCTCATGAGTTATTCAGCAAGTATTTATTGAACACTTAAAAAGCTGGGGACAGAGCAGCGGACAGAAAAGACAAAGACCCTGTGTTGTGATACGTGCAGAAGGAGGCACTCAGTACATACAAACAACGCACCTCAATGGATTTTAATTCTGAAAATAATGCACATTTTCAGTAGCTTGAACAAACGAGTTATCCTGAAAAATTAACACCATTCTTCCAAAAATTCCATTAAGTGGGAATGATGAGGGAGTTCCTATCTAGAACCAGAAGAGTAAGTTAAACACCCTTCCAGACTTAGGATGCTTTTCGGAATAAAATCCTTTTAGTAGCAGTTACATTTTCAAAATGTAAGTCCATTTAGGAACAGTTCACTCCACAGCTCAAGACAGCTGGTCAGTGTCATCTATCCTATGTGCCCTAAGTAATCAGCTGTGGGGTTCTGTTTATGATAATGTGCAGGGCGAAGTATATATAATACCCATCCTGCATGAAAGAACTCACGCTGCCTTTCCATTCCATCCACAAGCGACCAATCATCTGCCAAATTTAAACGCCATCGTTAGCTTAACAAGTGTTTCTTCTGGATGCTGAAGGCCCACCTCTAAAAATCACCCAGTTACAACCCATTAAAACGAATTAACATGCTGGAGACCTGCGGAGGTGATTCTACTTGTGCAGCAGGGCCGGGCTCTGGAACGTTCTCCTCCCTTGTCGGTGCATACGCTTCCTTACCGCTCCCTGGCTTGGGGACTGTCAGCGGCGCCCCTCTAGCAGGGGCCACGGGGGTCTGCGGAGTGGCCGGCGCGCAAGACCCCTACGACCTCCCCGACGTGCCTGCGGCAAGGGCGCGGTTCTTTGGCCGCTCGCACGTCCACCTGGTCGCGCGGGCACCCACGGACGGATGCATTCCGTGTGCACATGCCGTGCGCCCGAGTCGGCCTCCTTCCCCTCCCACCTGACCCGAAGGATCCCGCAGTTCCCAGGAACTCGGAGACAAACGGCGGAATGGGGCCGGCAGCCCCTCGCACTTCCCTGGAGTGGACATCCCGCCGGATCCCGGGGGGTTGCATCGCTCCGCTCCGGCGCACCTCCTGGGGGTGGCTGGGTCGGGGCGAGGGGACGCTTGGCGCGCAGGAGCCCCCGAGCCGCGGCGGCCGCGTCTTCACAGGCGAACCCCTGAGACTAGGGGAGGCAAAGGCGCCCCAACCTCCAGCCTCCGAGGCCGCCCCCCCTCGACTTCTTCTAGATCGCCGCGCGCCCGTCCTGGCCGGTCGGGGGACCCGGGGCGCCCCAGCGGGACGCGCGGCCGAGACTCCGCGCCGCATCCGCACTTTGCGCTCC